GAGCCCCTGATGGGGAGGACTGGGCTGGCTCTGCGGGCTTCTGGGGGTGGAAGCTCTCCTGCAGCCCTCCAATTGCCCCCTCTCCCCAGATGGCAGCCTGCGGCAAGTGCAGCCGGGCTGATGGCCAAGTGGTGTGATGTGCCCAGTGTGGGTAGTCCGGGCACTCCAAGCCAGGACTGGTTTGCAAGCGGGGCACCCCTGAGAACTGTCTGTCCGGGGTAAGGGTCGGGTCCCTTTAAGCGCAGCCCTGGGCTAGCCTGAGGCAGCATCTCCACGCTCTAAGTCCTCCTCTGATGCCCTGCCGGCACTGCTTCCGGCCATCCTTAACCCCGGTTCAGGGTCCACTTTATGTGGACATGCTAGTTTGAATTAGCAAAACGCTAATTCGAACTAGTTTTTTAGTGTGGATCTGTTAGTTCGAATTAGCTTAGTTCGAATTAACGTTGTAGTGTAGACGTACCCTAGGAGTTTGCCTGAACAAGGATCACGGGGTTAAAACCCACATTGTTAATTAGAAGGACAGTGGTTCTTTGTGGCTTAACTGCCTGACTCTTCTTTGTCAGTGGGTGAGGCACACTGGGGCCTGGAAGGTGTGAGTGGGGCTCAAGAGTGGCAGTTGAACTCTCTCATGCAGCTCTTTTGCAGCGGTTGCCCCCATCGCTGTTCTATCCTATTCCCCAAAGAGTTTGTAAATGGATCCACATTGGCCTGCATCCACTGCTTCCAATCTTTTCCTGCTGTACTCTTCATGCATGCAAGTGCCCTGGTGCACAGGGAACATCCAGGGCTGTGCTAAGTAGCATGGAAGTAGTCTGTAGCTCTGGGGTAAGATCTCTGCATCTTTACAATATATGAACTACATGAGAGGTTCTGAACTCTGTATATCTATATCAAAATGCTGACTGCATTTTGAATGCATGGATATTTGCCTGTTTACTTCCATGTTGTGTAGAAGTCCCAACATATAGGCTGACAATGGAGGCTAGTTAGCTTTAAGTACCTGTTTACTGGAAATCTAGTCACTCTAGAGAAAAGACTAGCTTTACAATATATGAACTACATGAGAGGTTCTGAACTCTGTATATCTATATCAAAATGCTGACTGCATTTTGAATGCATGGATATTTGCCTGTTTACTTCCATGTTGTGTAGAAGTCCCAACATATAGGCTGACAATGGAGGCTAGTTAGCTTTAAGTACCTGTTTACTGGAAATCTAGTCACTCTAGAGAAAAGACTAGCTCATGCTCACCTAGGCTGTCTACATTGGCACCCCTTTCTGGAAAAGGGATGCTAATGTAGACTTTGGAATAGGCAAATCCATGGGGGATTTAAATATCCCCCGCGGCATTTGCATTAACATGGCTCCTCCTCCTCGCCTCCCCAGGGGCTGCCAGAGCCTCTGAACACATGGAGTTGGGACCCTCTCGGGCAGCCAATGTCTCCTGAGCTACCCAAGGCAGGCCAGCCCCATCCCTGAGCCCTTCTCCCTCTCCTCCTTCCCAGGTTCTTTCCCCAGTCCCTACCCTGTTGTATATCCCCCAAATAAAAAAAGAATTGTGTTTTCAAAACAAAAAAGGCTTTTTCATTTGGTCTGCAGGGGAGGGGAGAAGGTGGGAAGGGAGGACAGGGGAAGGGCAATGTGGGGGAAGAAAGGCATACAGGGGCAATGCAGCGACCCCTTGTGAAAAGGCCCAGGGGAAAGTCTAATAGGTGGCCTTTGCTGAAACTCTACTGGATAAGCACAGCCCCCCGATGTGCTTGTTAAATGGCATTGGTGTCTGGCTGTTCGTAAGCTCTGGCCAGCTGATCAACCTCTGCCCCTATCCTGGGAGGAAAGTCTCCACCTTGCTCTCACATAGGTTGTAGAGCATACAACATGTCATCACCACCTAGGGATGTTGTGCTCTCTGATGCCCAGGTGGTGAAGAGACTCCTGAACCTCCAATTTAAGGGGCCCAAAGCACACTATACAGTCATGTGGCAGGTGCTCAGCCTAGCACTGAAGTGCTCCTTGGTGGGGCCCAGGCTGGGGAGCAAGGGGTAGGCTACATCATCCAGGATGCACATGGGCATGTCCATGTCCCCAACCCTGATGGTGTGGTCAGGGAAATAGTACCAGCGTGTATCTTCTGGAACAAGCTTGAGCTTCGGAACATGCAGGTGTCATGCGCCTTCCCTTCCAACTGACATTAATGTCCATAAAGTGGCCCTTGCAGTCCAGCAGGGCCTTCAGCATCATAGAAAAGTACCCCTTCCTGTTATATAGTCTGAGGCTCAGTGGTCGGGGGCCAGGATAGGGATAAGAGTGGTGTCTATGGCCCCCGCTCAGGTGAGGAATCCCATGGTGGCAAAGCCATCCATGATGGGGTTGACTGCCCAGAGTGGCAACTCTCCATATCAAGATGGTATTGATAGCCTTGGCTACCTGACCGTGGATTTCCCCGTGACAAACTGGTTCCTGACAGAGTGGTAGCTGTCCGGCAT